TCATCATCATCATCATCATCATTATCAACATCCAGTGCCAGATCTGCGACAGACATCGGCGATCTTGGTTTTCCATTCATTCCTTTGCTCGGATGCTCTTAAAAAAGCGACGTTTCCCTGATCTTTCCCTGTTACCCATTTGTTTAGGTTCCAGTATGTTGTTCTGGGCCTGCCCCTGCCTCGCTTGCACTCAATTTTATCAGTGAGAGCTAGATGATCGAGACCTTTATGTCTATTTAAGTGTCCCAAAAACTGCATTTGTCGTTTCCTGATTGTTTTTAACATTGAGCGTCCCACGTGGGCTTCATCAAGCACTACCTCATTTGATTTCTTTTCCTTCCACGATACTCTTAGCAGTCTCCTAAGAAACCACATTTCTGTTGCTTCTATTTTATTTTCACTGTCTTTAGTGATTGTCCAGCATTCACAGCCATATAGAAGGGTTGACCAAACATAGCATTTCAGGACATTCATTTTGGTGTTCATTGAGATGTTTCTATTTTTCAGGATTGGGCTCATTTTATTGAAACCAGCCTTAGCCATTGCAGTTCTCCTTTTTATTTCTGTGGAAGATTTGGCATCAAATGTTATCATATATCCTAGATATTTAAACTGTTGGACTTGTTTGATCTTTTCACCTTTGCTAATGAGATTACAACTAGGATTTGCTGCTATTTTTTATATTACCATGCATTCTGTTTTCTTTACATTCAACAATAATCCTTTACGTTCCCCTTCTTTTACAACTGTATCTAGAAGCAATTGAAGGTCCTTTTCGGAGCCTGCTATTAAAACCGTGTCATCTGCATACCTGATGTTATTAATATTTTCTCCATTAACTTTGAGACCTGGACATTCTCCTATGTTTCTAAGGATTGACTGTATTCTCCATTAATTCATATAGCATTGCTTTGATCCAAGTACAAATTTCTGATAATTCTTAGATCTTTTCCATCTATGTCTAGCTTTTCCAGTATTTTAAATAGCTCATCATGTCTAACTTTATCGAACGCCTTTACATCTTTCCATTACAATTGTTAAGGCGGATATAGCATTTCTGCTGCCCTTGTCAGCAACAAAGCCGAATTGCGTTTTAGATATCTCTGGTCTTACACTTTTTTTCAATCCTCCCATTATTACTCGCAACAATATTTTTGTCAAATGACTCATAAGGCTAATTGTTCTATGCATGTGACACTCAGTGGCACCTGGTGTTTTAGGTAAAGCTATAAAAACTGACTTCATCATTTCATCTGGGATCTCACCGCTGTCATAAATAGCATTTAGGAGCTTTGTAGTTATTTCAGTGCCTAGTTCTTCAAGCGCGACAATCACTTCAAGTGGAATATTATATGGCCCTGTGGCTTTTCCTAATTGTGGCGTCGGTGGCCTAGTGGTTAGGCTCTCGGACTCGCAACCGTAAGGTCGTGGGTTTGAATCCCGTCAGGGACCCAACGTCGTGTCCTTGGGAAAGGCACTTTACACGAATTTTCCTCACTTCACCCAGGTGGGAATGGGTACCCGGCTATAGACAGCGAAAGATCTTGTCAGTTTGTTAGTGTTTGAGCGCTTAATCGGCTGCTTGCACTGTATGCTTCCCGGGAAGCTGAGAATGTTTCGGAGTGTTCTATGGTCTGCTGGGGTAATAATATAGTGTAAAGCGCATAGAGCCTGCTGTTGAGCGGGGATATGCGCTATAAAAATGCTATCTATTATTATCTATTATTAATATTATAATTGTTTCATTTTCCTAATGGCAGCTTGTACTTCTGATTTCAGTATTGGTGGTCCATTTATTTCATTCTTTTTTACCGGTTTTTCTCCTCTATTATCTTTGAAAGGTGCTTCTATGTATTCTGACCATCTGTTTAAGACATCCCCGTTGTCCATTAAAATATCCCCTCCCTTTGATCTTATGCGTCCTGTATTTGAGCATCCTTTTCTCCCACTTACTTCTTTGTTTTTTTAATGCACGTATTTGTTGTCTTTGTTTTGGGACTTCTCTATTTGTTGACACTGATCGTTTATCCATGTTTCTTTTGCTTCGTTCTATTTGTTCTGTATTTCCCTGTTGAAGATGTTGTACTTTTCCACATTTGATTTTGCCCGTCTTCTCTCTTCCATTAGTTTTAAAATGTCCTGGGTCAACCATTGTATTTGCTCTTTTAGCTTTCGGGGGATATTTTCTTCCACAGCTTCCATTATTTAGTCTTTCATTTTCCTCCATGGTTCTTCCGATTTAGTGTTTTCCAAAGCTTGAAATGTATTTCTTACATCTATAGAGAAACGTTCTTTCATTTCTTGATTTGTTTTTAAAAGACCTATGTCAAATTTAGGTTCATACTTTGACTTTTTGAGTTTCTTCAGTCGTATCCACATTTTACACATGACTGGTACATGGTCACTATCACAGTCTGCTCTTGGCAGTGATTTAGATTATTCTATTGTGTTCTAAAACGTTTCTGAATAAGTATGAAGTCTATTTGATTTCTACTTCTATCGCCAGGACTCTTCCAAGTGTATCGTCTTCTTGGGTGATTTTCATACCAGGTGTTTGATATCATAAAATTATTTTCTCTCCACCACTCTACCAGTCGTCCCCCGCGTTCATTCTCTTTACCAGAGAGTTGTCTTTACCCAGTCCCCATGGCCCAACTAAATCTTCTATACGTGTACTTCCTACTTTAGCATTAAAGTCTCCCATGACTATCTTTACATCTTGAGATTTTAACTGTTTCACTGCCTTATCAAGGCCTTCATAAAAAGTCTCAATTTCCTCGTTGTCGTGTTCTGATGTTGGTGCATATATTTGGATGACACCTATGTCAAAAGGTTTTCCCTCTTTAGCCACGATGACTCTATCTGACACTCCCCAAAAACCTTTGATGCTCTTTGCTGTTGCTTCGTCAAATAAAATTCCGACTCCTCTTTCAGGGGTTTTTCCTCCTGAATATATAATTGTTTTGGATACTCTTTTAATCAAGCCTGCCCCCTCCCATCTAACTTCTGAAAGGCCTAACCTATTTTAGCTTCATCCTATTCATTTCCTGCTCTATATTATCTAATTTGCCTTTCTGGTACCTTGTTCTTACATTCCAAGTGGCGATGTTAAGTTGCATATTTTTGCAGCTAGTAGCTGGATGACGATCGGGTGCCACCTGCTGCCCGTGGCGGTCCCTACCGAGCGGGGAGTTCAGAGCTGGATCATGAACCCCCTTAACGTTGTTATCTGATAAATGAATGTACTTTTCCATGACTGTTCTTGGGATATCACAGCAGTGGTTTCCCGTTGCCTACTGTCGGTTTGTGTACAGTTTCTCTGCTAGCCTTTGTATATACCGCTCCCTATATTCTAGAGTGATCAACAGCCAAGCCATGTCTTATTAGTCTTATAGCTTTAAACGATTGGACATCAGTCTGAAGCAGATATATTCCATTTTGACTGCAATCAGTGACTTTTTTTGACGAGAGCCATAGTCACCAGAAGTTTTTATTTGCTCTCGCGAAATTTGGCGCGTTGCTTTGGCCTTGCATAGCCTAGCAGTGACTAGCGCAAGCTATCTTAAGCCGAACCGAAAGCAGAAAAATACTGAGTAAGTAAAGAGTTTGTTTATGTTCCCAAATGTATGTTGTTCTGCAGCATCGAAATAAGAGAATTACTGTGGGAGGACTTCCGTGAAGAGCGACCACTAGATCTATGAGACAAGACAGAGCAGAATTGAGGGCTAGGAGGGGTAGACCGTAGATCTAGATATCTAGGGTTTATATTATATACGGGGTGCCCACTTACAGCTGGATCGGGCCGATCGCCCGACTCGATCGCTAGAGATCTAGATATATAATATATCTAATCTAGAATCTAGATCTAGATCTAGATTCTAGAAAGTCTAGATTATACATCTTCTAGATATCTAGATCTGTCTTAAAGTTATTACTTGGCAGGACTCATTTGTGAACACG